TTTTTGGCCAAAGCAAATTATCTCATGATGATCAGCATATTCAAAACTGCAGGTTAGAGCAAATATTTCAGATACGAAAATTTCGTTTCAGTAGCACTTTAAAGATTTACCGTCTTTCACGTCATTCAAGAACCAGCATCTTGATTGTAAAGTTAAAATTTTTCTTAGCTAGTGTCCTTTTAACCCTTTACTCTCCAACATCAGTATGCATATTCTCCATACTGTTATCTATACATTTTTCAAGCTACTTAGAAGGAGAATGTGCCTAACAATCGAGAGGTTCTTAACTTGGTGATCTATTCCTATATTCACGTAACCGTAAGGTTCAATTCAGAGGTGAAGCCATAATGAGAAATTAGATGCTACTCACTCTCGGGGTCAGAGAGTTCAGGGTACAAGTGAAACTAAAGACAAATAGTTCTATGTCGGGACCACGTGTTTCTCTGCAGATCTGTCAGCTTCGTTAATCTTTTAAGTTGTCTGCCTCCATCCTTGATGCTCTATCAACAATGGTAAAAGGACTGAGTGGAGTTTAATTCGGTCTGTAACCATAAAAGTGACGGGGGAGTCCGATTTGTTTATCAAGAGCATGATTACAGACAGAATTGGACGAAACGAATTCCTGTTAGCAACTAATCAAAACTAAGACAAAATTCGAGAAAGAAACTAGACATCGGTTCTACGTTTTCATGAAGAAAAAAAAAGATAACTCGGCGAAATGCGCGACAACAGGAACAGCGCATTCAGTCCACTTACACAGGCATGACGTGTTAAATGTCTTTTTAACTGCCCTTTTACACTGTCCAATTACAAGCACTGACGCCTACACTGTCCTCTTAGTACTCAAACCAGGCTGGTGGTGACCAATCACGTTCGAGAATTTTGTTACAATTTTGATTAAAGAGGTGAGGTTTAATTGTTGTGCTCTTTCACTCTTTTCACAGGAAACATTACATTGAAGGAACATTTGGGAATTGGCATTTTTTTTGACCAGTTTTTGTAATTTTCAAACCACGAAGCTCGAAAGTCACAATTTTCTTTTATTTTAAAATTACCGGGAAGAAAAATAACCTGCTTTGGTTTTCGTTAGGAATTTTAGTACTATTGTTATTATAATTTTTGGGGAAGCCGTTACGTGCTTTTTGATACAATATTGCGCCTTAATAAGAAAAAATTGGCAGCACAACTAAATTTACCTTCAAATGGGTCCTTGTTTTTCTGTTTTACACTAAATGGGTACGAGCACTTGGATTGATATTACTACCCACTGTGAGAGGAACAGAGTGATATCACAAATAGTGATGTACCTTTGAAAAGGGCTGCGTCATGGTATTTTCAGTTGTTTTTAACACGTAATCAGTCACCTTAAAATGAGAGGAATAAATCAGAAAAGAATAAGGATGGACCAAGATGAAGAAGATTAGGGCCTATTGTTGATGAGTCACTTAAAAAATGCTAGGATAAATTTTTTCAAAATGCTGAGACCGTGTTGTAGCCACTTTGAAGTTTAATGGAAGTAGCTGCTCAATCAAGGGGCTCTAGAGAGCTTCTATGCTGGTGGAATTATACCTTCTTCCGTCTAGGAAAGTTCCCCTTAAAAAGCGGAGCAATAGTAAATATGAGAAGGACAAAAAAAAATTTGCACGTTATTAAGTCAAAATTTAATGTCAATTTTTCCCATTGCCTTATATTTCAAGCATATCCTGTACAGCAAATTTCTAATGCTTGAAATATTACCTTTCGCAATATTGTAAGTTAAACAATACATTTGAATTGTAAATTTTTTCAGGGAGAAATAAACTGTTGTCTAAAAGTGTAGGTGTGTTTTGTTTGAAAGCCTGGCTAGTTGACAAGCGTAACCGAACTAGTTTCTTTTACACGATTCGCTTGATATTAAGGCATTGTCCCCACGACCGTAAAACATCTTAAAAGAAAATAATTTTCAAAAGCTAAATTTGAGCCAGGCTTACAGCTGTAAGCGGTGAAGTTTCACGCCGACTCGATTTAAAGCACTTTGCAGCTGGAGGAAGTACTGTAACTGATGCTTAGCATCTTGAATAAGAATGCATCAGTTGGTATGTGCGCTGCGATTTAACAATTTAGTAGCCCGCTAAGTTCAAAAGTTTGTTCGAATTGAAATTCCGCTCTATTTTAACCTATCTACAGTGGAACCTCGATTTAACGAGCGTCTACAACGAAGTCCTCCGTATAACGAACGATGCTTTTCAGCCCGGCTAAAGTTAAGTAAAATGAATGCCACAGAACTTGGATTTAACGAACCTCGGTGTAACGAAATCCTCGTCATAACGAACACAATCCAGAAGCCCAAATATAAACATCTGACCAAAGACGAATGCGAAACAGAACAATACAACAGTGCAATACCAGTTGGTTTGTTAGCTCAATTGGTAAAGCGCTGCACTAGTATCGCAGAGGTCAGTGGTTCGAATCCCGTAAAGACTGGGAACTACCCAGACCGGTCTAGAAAAAAAAGGTACAAAGAATATAAAAAAATTGGCATATAAGACACAGCCATATAATAAACATCTTGATTAACCAAGCTAGGTCGGTCTGTATGGGAGAATCTTCACCTCGGTCAAGATTCTCCCATACAGACCTCCCGCTCTGTTAATAAGACTAAGTACGTACCTCGAACGTACAATAACTGAGTGAAAAGGGGCTCTTACGTCAGACAACGAACGCCCTCAGTTACATTAATCGTTTGTCATTCAGTAATATGGTAAGGCTGTTCAGAGTGACGACTGTTGACACTAAGGAAGAGTTTGACATGGTTTTCCGAGCCATGGATCTATTGCATGCGAACGTTGCCTACAGAAAAGGAACAGTATTAATAGCGAATGGACACTAACATTCAGAGTGTTTATTGTAGATTCATCAACAATATTTTATCTTCCACACTAAAAAACTTTTCTATCTTCATTCGTTAATTATCAATTTCTTTACGAGAGCTCTGTCTCTCTCTACAAAGAGGTAGAGGAACGACTAATGAGTAACGGGCTTTGAGTCCGATAAAAAGTTCATTAGAAGTCCTGCGTAATTCATCATCTTGATGGATCGAGCATCGTTTGGCAAAGTCGAGTTAAATTTAGAAATAAACAGTGTGCCAGAGTTTATAAGGTCATTTAAAATTAAGTGATTTTCGCCCTAAGGACACTGCTAGGGGGTTACCACTTCGGCAGTGACACATAACTACAAGGACCTTTTCGAACATCAGCCGATGGCGTAAAAGTATATGTCAATGCAGGTGCAACACAGAAATCATATTGAGGTGTGCAGCTCCTCTTGCCGAATATTTTACAGCACAATCTGAAGTGTACTCATTTAAATAAAAAAATTAGAAATAGCGTCGAGGAAGAGATTAGATTCTTTTGTGTCGAGTTGATACGTCATACGTATAGCGAGTCAGCGCTGAAGTCCCTGACCGCTAATTTTATACACCTCAGTGATTAACAAAGGATACTCTCTGATGGCATTAAGATTACTGTTCGCTTATGTATGCTGTATTTTCGTTGTTTTATAAAACATAGAGGGTAAGTTAAGTTACCTCTTTTTACATTAAAGATCACTAAATAAAAGTACTTCCAGAATGTCTGCTTATACTTCAGCCTGCTACCACTACACATATGTCGACCTCGATGGCCCTTGGGAATGGACGCATTCCACTTATGTTAGCCAAATATATTTATAGTGTAAAAGTATGAATTGGTTGATAAGAAATGGGAACTATATCATTAAAACAGAATTCCGAGCCAAAAACTGACAGTGGATGGTTTTTCAACAGAGAAACTGATAATTTACGCTTCTTAACTATTCCATCATAAAGCACTGTGCAGTCGTGGTGCAAATATATACAAACGAGAAGAAAGAGTGTGTGTAAAGTGGATCCTTTTCACTGGCAACACCTTGTAATAAATGGGGCAAGACAGGGATTACCTCGAAAACTAATCCTACACACACTACATTTTAAGATCTCTCCCCAAAGAAAATGATGGCTATTTAGTGTTGGGCGACAGGATATGGACATGGATGTTGGATGTAATTTATGTGCACATGAAATCAAAAGAACAGACGTGAAACACCATTTCCCGTTCTCCGACAGACAACTACCTAATTTAGACTCCAGTTTGGAGCCAGTTACCAGGTATCAACTACCAAATTTGTACAATGTTGCTGAAAAACAACCTATTATTTCTAAATATAGGTCTTTCTTTATCCTAAAAGATGGCATAACTTAAGTTAGGCGTACTTGTAAATATTTTTAAAATAGTCAAAATTTTGTCATTATTTTCTATAGAAATAGTCTCTACATTTCAGTCTTCAGCTGGGGTCCAGTCCTCCCCCGGGAGGAGTAGCATCAGGTGTGTGCCTCTGAAATTATGAGAAATGAATCAACACAAACAATAAAAAGCTTAATATAAAGCTTGACCTGGTAAAGAACATAAGATAATCACAACCAAAATCAAACATGCTCACGAAATGAGACCATTTAAAGAGAAAGGTGGAAAAATTGAGGTTCTGTAACTTTCAGTGCAACCAAGAAAACCGAGTAAGATATTTAATATATCCCTGGGTTCAAATAGAAAGAAGAAAGATTGCAACTAAAATGAACTTTTGAATTTAGCAGCCAAACAAAATTGACCAATTACAGTGCATCTGATACCAGTGACTGAAAGGTATAATTGGGATTGTTGTAGCTTTGAAGCTTTCTAGTATAATTATTCAAGAAATCACTGTATGGTATTGGCAGATGCAGCTTTTTTCTCCTTAGCATTTCATCATTATTTGTATCTTGTTACAAAAACAGTAACCCTAAAAAATATTCCAATCTTCAAAAAAGCACTACAAAATAATTTCAATGCATTCAATCTAGTGCAGATATGGATATGTTTAGATTTGCCACTTCAATGTCAGCTGACATGATCATAAAGTTTTTTACAAAGTGCGTAAAAATTTCACAGACCATTCAGCTTAACCATCTTTTTTAACTTTCAGTTTAAAGCAAGTTTGTTGTGATGTCTGCTGGAGAAATGACATTAAATGTAGATCCTGACTTCATACAAATTCTACTATTTTAAAGGAACACAGTGGAATGTATCAGTAATCCATTCTCCTGAATGCACTTCTTATTATGAGCTGCACTAGATATAAATAGAAAATACCTTTTTCTTTTTCTTTTCCTTCTTTTTCTTTTTGCGTTCACCATCATCATGCTTTTTCTATGAAAAAAGAAACAAAAACAAAATAATTCAAGCATGTTGCAGAAGGAACAAAAAATACATTTTTTTGAATCTTTAAAATTATATCAGTACATACCCACTAAGACAATCTTATTGAATAAAAATGTTTATAAAATCATGAATTACAATAATCTAGTCATTTGCACGAACCTGTTTCTTGTGTTTTTTGGAATCATGCCCACTCTCAGGTTTATCTATGAACAAAATTCCAGAACAATTTCCATAGTTTTATCATTTTTACACTGACATAAGTTTTCTTATCCCTTCCTGTCCTTCCAACAGTAACTAAAATGAGTTGATTATACAGGTGCTATGATTGAAAAAGAGACATTAGAGAGAGAAAAAATAAAGAACCTTGCAGATCTTCTGCCAGCTTGTCCACAGGCGATATTTGAAGTAAAAACAAACTTTCTCATGCACTGTCTTGCACAGGAATGAGTATTTTTTTTTTGCAGTTATAATGGAATGAGGGGTGGGTTGGGAAGGAAGGGAAGGGGTGGGTTGCGAAAAGATAGTTCCAGTCTCTGGATCGTTTCTTAAATTCTATGAGAAAGATGCAAGAGGGCAGGGATCCAGGATTGAAAAACACTCTCAGACTGGTAAATTCAAGTAGAAATTTCAATATTTGGTTATAAAATATTTTACAACGAATAAAGAGGTACAAAAATGCAACTGAAACACTAACTAGGTAAAGATTGAATCTGGAGCACATCCATGAGATTACCTAAGAACCAAAGATTGAGGCCTTCTTGCACTGCACTGGACCCCCAGCCTCTCTCCTTCCCTCTACCCCTTCACTGCCTCCCCCTTCCCTTACTCATTTATATAGCATAAACAATGGATGAAAATGGGTGCCAAGAGGTTAAAAAATAAGAAAATAAATAATTTCTATTACCAGTAGAGGAGGATGCTAGCTTTTCTTGCTCTGGACCCATCTGACTGACTGCTTCACCTCCTTCCTTATTTCGCTCATTATCTTGGCTTTTATGCTTCTTGTGTTTGTGTTTTTTCTTCACTGGATGCTGACTCATGAAACGAAACTGCTCTGGAATCTGGAAAATGAAGAACATAATCTCTCAGCACAGTAAGTTTTGAAACATCCATGATTCTGGGCCAAAGTTCCTGATACAAACTAATTTTTCACTTCACTCTTAAACCACTGCAATGGTGACAATCTTGTACCTCCAAGGAAATAAATATAGGATATTACATGGCCACGCAGAGATACAAAATTTCTTTTGCAGTGTTGAAAAATATTGCAGCAAACAAGTGGAATGTTTTTCAACATGAGAAGAGAAATTTCCTATCTCCAAGCAGTGACATGTAATATTCTATTTATTATATAAACACCAATGAAATACTATATCAGTTCACATAGCAACAGTGATCTTTTCACCTGCAAAGATAACATGTTCAACACAATATCATGTTTGTATGCAAATACTCAATTGGTATTTCACTGGTGTTTATATAATAATAACAATTATGAAATTTCCAGTTGGGTAACTGAATTGATGTTACTGTCAGTATTATCTTTATGAAGTGCCTGACACCAATTAAATGCCAACCTTATATAAGTGCTTCCAAGGTGTTTAATAGCAGCCGTGGAGTTTAATCAACTTCTTAGCTGATCGTACCTAAATTCTGTTGAGTAGCACTGCTGGAACATGCTGCTGGTTTGATAAATTTTGATTTTTTACACATAAATGTTCACGGGAAAACTTTAATCCTTGGAAAAGACCTAGAGACTATTTGTTGCTGCTGGATGAAGTGGGAAATCATGTCATCCTGATTAAGGGTAACAATGAAAAAAAAAACTGATTGAAATAGAGCAAATAACAATCCTTAACATGAAGTTTAAGTTGCCAGATTTGAAATCAACAGCATGAGCATTTCATTGAGAAAATACCATAGTTGCACTTTTGTCCATAAGCTAAAAATGCTGTCCAGGAAAACAAACTACTCTGAGTTAGCAGTTGCTAACAGACTTTGAAGGGAAACTGCTGAGAAAATGGCTTTTGAAGCAGCTTCACATGTTTGTAAACAATATCATTAGACACTTACTGGACCAGGATTTAGGCGAAATCCAGATAAGGAATGCCCAGTTAAAGGAAGGAGCTCCTTTCCACCAATGGGAGGCTTGTCTACCACTGAACGAAGACTTTGAAAGAAAATGAAATGTAACAGTTGTAAATTCAAATAATTAAACTTTTATTAATTCCTCTCTAAACAATTCACCATTAGAATTTTTTCTTTACTGACCTAAGGGATGATTCTTGTAACTTTAAAATCAGAACAATTTTTTTGCCAAACAGCTATACTGATGAACAATTAAGAGTGATGGGGAAACAATTTACCTATTTTCTGGTCCTCCTAGTTCATCAAGAACACCTGAGGGACATGAACAAAACAAAGAGCTGTAAATAATTAGCAAGATACATGCTCATCTGTCAGTTATAATTAACAGAGGGTAATTAAATCTTGAAGAGGATTTTATATTACTGTACTTCTTCTAAGTCTTTGCTTAATTTCACAAGTGGTTACTGTATACACATTAACACAAAATGGCTTCTCTGTAATTGCCTGTCAGACTCAACAACCCACTGAATGGTGAGCTTTGAAACCGTACTTGGTTAGCTCACCTTATAGAGTGCTGAACTGCCATGCAAGAGATAGAGAGCTCAAGCCCCAGATCAGATTGATACTCAGAGTCTTAAAATAACTGAGGAGAATGTGCTGCCTTGCTATGACATCTGCAAATGATTAGACACTCTAGTCTTCTCTAATAAGGATGATAAACCATAGGGCCTATCTCATAAATCTCCTCTGCACTGGTTAGAAGGGGATGGAAAAGAACCCACCTTCTTCTTGCAAAGAGTAAGGAACATAGCTCCTCAAGTTGTGGTCTGGCCTTGTTATTTTGTACAGGCCCCCATTTAAACCAGCTTTGAGCTGAACAGGGCCAGCCCATCTAAATATCACAAATAAATGCATACATACAAAACTACAGATCAAAACACCCAGTAGCCAGCTAAACCTGGGTCGCTGAATTGTTTTGTTGGACAAAATACTGAACTCTCGTGGTGTCTCACACCTGAGCCATGATATAAATTGATTCAAACCATCTGTTGGGGAAAACCTGACAAAATGCGGAGGGGGGGGGTTTCCTTTCATGGACCGATGGACTGGCATCCAGTCTACGAGGGAGTACTAACTTAATTTTACTGAAACTAAGATGAGCTATAGAGACTCCTACAGTGGTGAGCCTTTTGATCAATGCATGAGATTAGGATAACACCAATGCAAAGGATAAGGTGTCCTGCTACAAATATGCTGATAGCTATCAGACTTCTGTAAATTCTGTAATACTTTTCTTAACAATACAAAATAATTTTTTCTGCAGTTTTGACAGCAATTATATGTGGCTATCATTTTCTCAAATAGATTGACAAGGAATGGAGAAGGGGGCAGTTAGACTCTGTCTTTTTACAGGTTAGTGGCCAGATGCTTAGCAAGATTCAAGGCAGTAGCATTCCAGTCAAATTTTGAACACAGGGGAAAAGGAGAGAGAGAGAGAGAGAGAGAGAGAGAGAGAGAGAGAGAGAGAGAGAGAGAGGGGGTTAATGTGGTTTCTGGAGCATACTTCATCCTTAATGACCCAAACTTGCACAATATCGGTCACCATGACCTCACACTTAATCACAAACACTTTTGTATTGCTTCACAGTAAACTTGTGCATTTTGATGCCCAATTACTGATACACTGGTCCATTTTATCCAGTGGTTGTGAACTGTGAAAAGGGAATGTGACATAGGGTCAAACATGATCAAACAAGAACATCACATATTTTGAAAACAAGAGCACCTGTATAAGAATCTTGTCTGTGTGGACTATTTGATTCTAACAATATTTTCCAGCAACTCTATGTTCAGCTACACTTATAGCTAAGTTCTTTATCCAGTGAAAGTTAATAATTTTCCTCCCTTTTTAAATTATTTTTATGATTCTTAAACTACATAAAGGATGTCGGCATTGTCAATTTCAAGAAGTTTTTATCTTACATATGTTGCCTATCGATACGCAAGTGGTAAATACGTTAGCGCATTTTCAGTTGTATACCATGTTAAATTAGCAAAGTTTTGGTTTAAAATTGCTCGAAATAATTAGAGATACAATTGTACGCACAGCTGTATTATATAAAAGGAAACCTTACCAGGCAAATGGGGTAAGAACGAACTCAATCCTTCCTTTACTTTTTTGCTCTTCTGATACGTCTGGTCAAAGCCATGTTTCACCAAGAGGTTGCTATTTGTTTCTAAAGGGGTCACTGCAAAAGAAACACAGCGGAAAGATCGGTGAACAAGCATCAGGAATGATGCAACTACAAACGGGAAAACAAGTTAGTTAACTCACGAGTATCATCCCGTAACAGATAAAACGGTGACATCTGTGTTGACGGTGTCGGGGTCGAAGTTGTTGAAACCATTGTTGTTCGATAATTTACGCTGGTTGGTTCCGCATAGTTCCCAAACGGCGAAGTTACGCTGAAGTTAGCACCCGTTCTCGAACCGCTTCTCACATTGTTTAGGGCGAGATTTTGAAAGGAGCTTTGTCTTCCCGGGACTAGATGTTGATGTCGAGAATTAAGGCTTTCCATTTGCCCCTTCTCGCCGCCATTAGAAACTTAGTTTCCCGTGAGTCCCTGCTAGAGTTGATTAGAACAACACGCGAGTTTGCCTACGCGAGTCACACGAGATACGCGTGTCATTTTCGCGCGAAATTGATTTCAAATTCCCGCGGTCGAAAAAAAAAGTTATTTCACCCATTACCACATGTTACGGTTAACGAGATATTTCTCTCTCTCTCTTTTTTTTTTTTTTTTCGTAATATTCGTCATTTTTCTGTCGAGAGTGGGTTGTGATACGACCGCAAATATGACCAACCTCTCAACGTCCGGAAGAAACCAGATTCTTTGGAGTCTGGAGACGAAATAAGTCTGTCTATAAAATATTCAATTCGTATTTTGCGCGTTCTTCAACCTTCTATGATTAATTATTCCTTTTAGGTACCTTGAGTATTTCGCTAAGAGGAAGGATGAATTCCAGCATCAGAGCGAATCGTGGGAGCAAAGTCATTTCCGAAGCTCTTAAAGGTATTTATCGGTACATGTACGTTTTGATAATGCCCAACGATGAAATTGTTATCATTGACATCTCCTGATTCGAGTACAAAGTTAAATTCTTCCAAGCTTTGAATTACCTCAGTTTAACTCATACTTTGTTTATAATTTGCAACTTATTGGCCTGCGGACGATGGAAACTTCCCACAAAGAACCGGTAAGATTTGATTTTCTTCTGCTAAACGCCGAAATACGTATCCCGCCTGCTTTTAAATTAAACTACAACTGCTAAAAGGGTCGGACAACACAGCGCGCTCTTCATGTGACGAGTTAAGCCAACAAATACCCCTCCCTTTTACTAACAAATGTAATTAATAATTTAGCATTGTATTTTAAGTACTCGGAAAACAGAAATGCTTAATTCGTATCTCCGTTCGTGATGTTCAGCCAAATTTATTTTTCTAGCCGGATCGCGTGTTTGTAACACCTTAATTCCAAATAAGATATCATTCACCGGATCAGGATTTTAAACATCTGTTGCTAATTTCTCAGAGTGCGCTAGTTATACCGAGGTTAAATTTATTGGTGTTGTTATTATTGAAATATTCATCTATTTATAACATATCGGTGAATACTCTAAATTAACATAGGGATATAATTTGAATTTTAGATGATCGCTATTCGACAACTTACACTATAACATCCGTTTAGGCGGCAACCACCGTACTTTGCGGTCAAATGTCAATATTTCTAAACTTTTGATCGTTTTGCCGCTTTTTTAAGTCTCTTTTGATCCAACGTCAAGGCTTTATGTCAGATATCCCTTTACAAAGTTAAGACTGAATCATAAGATTAATCTTAAGATCTAGAGCCTTTACAAAAGCTTGAACAATAGTACCTAGAGGCGCCTATATAAGGTACATTTCCGTCTCCTAATTCTGTAGACTAGACTAGACTGGTCAATAAGGTGGTGAGGTTCGTCCCTTAACAGATACCTTGGGCAGGGAGAATGCTTTTTCATATAAATCTCAGTACAAGGATTATGAAACAAAAAGGCTTGTCCTTGTGATCAACAGTATGTCACAGTTTAGACAGGCTGATTTGAGCCAGCTAAACAGACTCAATACGTTCCTTCTCATTCTTTCCTCTCCAAAACAGTAGATGACCGTCTTGTCAACATTTAAATGGGTGTGGCTATGGTGAGCAAATGGGCTGTTGTTTACTGCTATTATGAAAAAGTCAAATTAGAAATGAAAGAGAAAATTTGTCATCTGGTCACCAACTACTAAGTTTTGAATTCATGATTTCCTATTCTAAAAGTAACCCATTTGGAGGCTAGCCACTGCTGTTGGTTCTACAGGCTCAAGATAGAACTTACTTTGCATAAACATGTTTGAGTGTATGTTTCAGGAACCCGGTTATGTTGGATTTGCAAATCTCCCCAACCAAGTTCATCGCAAATCTGTGAAAAAAGGCTTTGAGTTCACTCTTATGGTTGTTGGTGAGCTTTTTCTTATAATTATTTAGTTATCTGATAATTGTATCATAGGAGCCATGTCACAAAGTTGTGAAAATGTTTTGAAAGTCTTTGAACTACAAATGTTTTACATCGGTATTGGTTAATTCCTTTGCCTGAATTTAGAAGGAGTGCATACCTTGCTCTCGTAACAAAATTTGATTTTGTTAGATAGAAATATTAATGGAAGTGGCAATTAGTAACACAACAAACATCTGACCATAACACTTAAACTTATTTGACTGCCTAAAAAGATCTTAGTTGTCATTTCCTGATTGGATATTGTTGTGAAGCATGTAGCCTAGCTGTGAACAGGTTCACCTCAAAGAGAACAAAAATTGCCACAGCAAGTGGGAAGTAAAGCTCATTGAGAGAGATACAGAATTCATGATCCTTCTTTTCCCATTTGGAAAGTTTTGCAGTTCATTTGCTGGCTAGCTACTTTCTCCAGCACTCCTTCAAGGTTTGCCTTTCTTTCATGTCTAGAAAAGGAAACCTTGCTCTCTCTTAATGAGATGCATGACTGTCAGTCATGCACTATAACCAACATGAGGGAGAAAGGGATTCCAATGTGAAAGATATTGTGATGGTTTGAGGAGTTTTAAACCCAGGCTTCACTCCTAAGATCTTGGTCTTATGATGTTTGTTAGTTCAGGGAATTTATGTTTGGATCAACTAATTATACATAATTGAATATTTTTCCATTCTTATTTTAGCTTCAGTTGCCTGCTTAAACAATTGATATTTTAAGGAGAAATTCTGTCTTGGTCACTCATAGGAGTTAAAGAGTTAGAATATTTTATACTGGATCAGATTGCTGTTGTCCTAGCAATGTCTGACATAAGTAGTCTTGGAATTATTTATCCAACTGTTGGCAAACTTTCCTGATTTTCTGCTCTCTATGCTACACCATTCAGGTGAATCTGGTTTGGGAAAGTCAACCCTTGTGGATAGCTTGTTTTTGACAGACTTGTATGATGATACTGCCATTCCAAGAGTAGTTGGTGAGTTCATGTTATTGTCTTATTCATCCTTTTGATAGAAAAAGGGATGAAGATTTCTAATATTCTAGTTACTCTCTTTAAGTCGTTTATTGGGCCAAATGAAGATACTGCTCTCAAAGCCATGGTTTTTTTTACAACAGGTCACCAATATCCAAACACTAATTTAAAGTAAACAAACACAAGGGAAGAAATTTTAGGCCTTGTCCACATTCTTGAATTGGGACATGTGGTGGCTTGACAAGTACAGCACTTTATCCTGAGAGGTCTGGATTTGAAACTTGACTAGCTTTTTATTTTGATTTCTTGGGAAAGACACTTTACACCTACCATCCCCCTCTCCATGCAGGAGTTAGAAATGGGTCCCAGTGACACACTCAGCTGTACCTCATAGGCCACTCTTTTGTTCTTTCCAAAATTTTGACGTTATCAGTGATCTTAATTACTGAACAGACCCATTGTAACATCATGTGGAATCTATTTGTTTTACATGATAAAAAAAGCAAAATGCTGTTTGGTAATGTCATACATGCTTCTGTCCTCATATAGATGTACTTATTAAATGGATTGTAATCTTGCATCAATAGCTTTTTATACAGTGCATGTGTGTGGGATTATTTTAGGGTTCACAGATCAGCCAACAAGCAAAGCTGATTAGTTTTTGCTCTATAGATCGTATTCATCAGACAGTTGAAATTGAAACCAACACTGTAGAAATTGAAGAGAAAGGTATCAGGTTGAGACTAACAGTGGTAGATACTCCAGGATTTGCAGATGCCGTAGATAACACTGACTGGTAAGATACTTGTTAAGATGGACAAAGGTAGAAAGGGCTATTTTTAATTTAGCAACAGCTTCATCAGACGAGCCAAAAGTTGCCCACATCACTTTGCTGTGGCATTTTTCCATTTTTAGCGCACTACAGGTCTCCTAAAATTCCTGCTGAATTGCTTGCACAAAAAAATTAACCAAAATTTACTACCACATTCAACAGCATATTCTTTTTGTTAACTCCAATGAGTGATCAAAATGGAATTTCTCCTAACAATATCAATGCAATATCAAGCAGAGAAATTATTAGAATAAAGAAAAAATATCAACTAGGGGATTGTTAGTTGATCAAATACCAAATTTTCTAAACTAACAAGACAAGAATTGTATAGCAGACTGTCAGAAAAAGTGCTAATGAGATCATGGCACTGAAAGGGTTAATAAAACTGACACTGATTATTTGTTGGTTACCTTTTCCCATTTTAGCTGGCAAGCTGTAACAAATTATGTAGATCAACAATATGAAGCATACTTACAAGATGAATCAGGGCTCAATCGCAGACACATAGTGGACAACAGAGTTCATTGCTGCCTGTACTTTATCTGTCCACATGGCCATGGGTAAGTGATATGTAGTCATTCAATTTCAGTGCAGTTAAGGCTCATTAACCCTCAATTGAACCCCTTAGAGTGATTGGCTTCTAATTTGCGACCCTTGAATCAAATGCAAAGGTCATGAGAACATAGCAAATGATCACCACTACAAGGCACTCATGATTATTAAACTAATTCTCCTCATCAGTCGCACAGGAAATGTGTAGAGAAAAGTATAGAGAACATGCATACTGATGGTAGGGTGTAAGGGCCATTCATTGTTAATAAGAGTTGACTTCACTGGGATACCTGTTTTGACAGGAACATCACAAAATCTCAGAGTCAGGGATGTGTTACCTCTGTCAGTGATTTGGACACTGTGACGATGACAGCTTCCTCATCAAATTTCCATATGCTGAGGGTTTCAATAACAAAGGCTGATAGTTTCTAAAGAAACTGTTTTGGGCTTCGTTGGTGGGGGTAACGAAATAATTTGGATAATTATATCAACAAAGTTGAAATGGTAAATTGGCCACCATAACGATTACAAAAGCTGACGTTTCAAGCGTTAGCCCCTTCGTCGGTTTCAATAATAGCTGGTTACTGTGGGTTTCTTGCTGCCTTTAAGACCTAACTACTACCAACCGGTTGCCTGCAAGCAGGCTCTTGTGTTTGGGTGTCACCTTTAGCCTTTTTTAAATTCACTAACCAATGATTTCTTTTTTGATGTAGGTTAAAGCCGATAGACATTGCTTTCATGAAGACACTGCATACCAAAGTTAACATTGTTCCAGTTATTGCAAAGGCTGATTGTTTGACTAAGTTTGAAGTACAGCGACTAAAAAGAAAGGTCAGTGGTGTGAACTTTTATGTTATGATAATTGTTCCACACCCATCTTGCACAACTCAGCAAACAAATGAGACGATCAATCTGTTTTGGCATCTTCAATGAGGAAACAAAGACACCCTGAGGGCTTGATAAAAGCTCCAGGGTGGGAGGGTAAAGAAAGAACTGGAATGACCTAGTGGACAAAACAAATTTATCACATGAGAACCAAACATATTTCATCAGCAAGCCAGCATAGAGGCTTGTGGCTAATTAAGTTTTTCGTTAGGAACAATGAAAGAAATGTCTTTTATATATGGTAAGGAATAGTTCCCGACTGACTGAAAAGGGAATAAATTAATTGCAAATGAGATTGTCAATTGTGAATTATAGACCAGAGCTGAATGAAAAGGTCTCTTGAATCTCAAATTTAGTCGCAATTTATTCATTTGAATGTTTTTTTCTTCTGGTAGATTTTAGAGGAGATTGATGACAATGGTATTAAAATTTACACTTTCCCTGAATGTGATAGTGAAGATGATGAAGAATTTGTTCAAATCAACCAAGAACTCAAGGTCAGTGCAAATATGTGTTAATGAAGTACAATTCTACTCAAAAGCAAGTTGACAGTCTCAACCTCGAAACTCGATCCTTGAAACTATGGAGAATTGAGGGACTCAGTCAACGTACTTTTGAGTGGTATTGAAAGCTATTACTCAAAGCATTTATGTCCGTACTGACCACTACTGCAAGTGCCCTATAATTTCTTTGAAGCAACTAGGAGTGCTTCTTTTCCTCTTTGACAAGATTTAATTGTCTTCCCAGCAAGTCAAGTCACTAAGTAATTGTAACGCAATTCAGTCTACGGACTGCCATGTTCGATATTCTAATAAACTATCTATCTTTCTCACCCTAACTGTTTGCTGGTCCTTTTGTTTACACCTGGTCAGGACAGGGTCCTGCTAAAGGAAAGTTCCATTTCTAAAAACACATCAAAACAGCATCATCCATGCATGGCTTAAAAGCAGGGTTCAGTTCTTCAAAGTGCGAGTAATGTTATCAAGCAGATCAGTGTTTGCAGAACGCGCTGCGCTATTCGTGCGGTAGAGATTTATTTAGTGGATGGCGTTACCATCCACCCTCGAACAGTAGGGGCCAGCTCTTTGATAACTCCTCTTATACTAAAGTGTGGCGTTAAGTGCATCACTCAAAGTGGGCTATAAATTGTAATTAGAAAAATTAAGGCCACCATGCCCAGGCGATGAACGAGAGAATGGCAAAAATATGTTTCACCAAACTACCCGAAAAAAAAAAAAAAAAAAAAAATTTGCGGTATTTCTAATACGATCTTCTATGCAAAACGTCGCAGTGTTTCAGGGACTGATCTTTTAAAACAGATATTCAGAGAAGGACCAAAAAACATGCATTATGCAGGGAAGAGTAAAGCTCTGATGTAATTGAATTTTTTACTGCAGGGTAGCATTCCTTTCGCTGTGATTGGTAGCAACAGCGTAACAGACGTGAGAGGAAAACAAGTTCGAGTTAGGCAATATCCTTGGGGAATGGCAGAAGGTATTTATTATAACTAAAGCGCGGTGATTCCGTTTCACTGGGACCAACTCTGGGACATGAAAATTTGGCAATAATAGGAGGGTGGTTCAAGATAAACGAGAGGACAAAAATGAATGTCTTTGAATTCCTACGGATGCAAGGACTGAATTGATTGATTGTTAATTTATCACAGATTGGTGCTGTTTCGGTACAATGAAGCAAATCCAGAGAGAGACGTCTTGAAGTGTTGTTTAAAATTGTGTGTCGTATGATAACAAAGAGGATTGTTTACAATTTCTTCTTGTTGGTGGTTCTAATTCATGTCTTAATTTGCAGTCGAAAACCCCGAACATTGTGACTTCATAAAGCTCAGAAACATGCTTATAAGGTGTGTCGTTTGCTTCCACAACATCACACTACTTCACTGACTTGTCATCGTACTTCTTAACAACTTTTTTAGCGGAAGTTTTGTGAAATTTACAAACGATACAGCTCCACTGGGTAAACACAATGTTTGACCATCTGTGTTTAATGGTTTTCGTAGGACACATATGCAGGACTTGAAAGATGTCACACAAGAGGTTCATTACGAAAACTACAGGGCAGAAAGACTCTCTAGTCAGGGAGAACCTTCCAGTCCACGAAAAACAATAGAGGGAATGTAAGTTTGTCACTTCCCTTTAATAACGCATGCGTATTTCACCGGATCTCTCTCCTTTCCGTCGAAGAAAACGAGGAAAAAAAATAACGAAAATGATGAAATGGAATAAAGGAGGGATGAGAAAGGGGTCGAATAAAGCACCATTAGAGGGGAGAAACGACCCAAAATTTATAGAAGAAGGATTAGTTTTAGTAGAAGAGCATTGCTTTGAAAGAGAGTCATTGCTGAACTTTTTTTGTCAAACTTAAGCAACATGCTAAGGATGTCAAAGTAGGAATTTGAAATATTAACGAAGGTATCTATAATCCAGTGTGGCGCAGGACTACATAGTCTATAGGCGATATGATTCATTGTTTTATTATGATGAGCGTATTTACAGGGCATTTCCAACGGTTAAGTGGTTGTTCATTGGAAGTATGCAGTGAGAATTGTGGTGCATTGATTTTATAGCGAGGAAGTTATTACTCCCCCTGGAAAATAGGAGAGAACCGCATCCACGATGAAATAACAATTTACTGCCTTTTAGAGCTCTTTGCATGATGGAGACGCCTTCATTGTAATATACGTGCGCTTTTTTTTTTTCTTTTGCGCTAATGAGGCGGAGAATTGAGCGTAGCAAGGGTGCGCAGGGTTATACTAAGGAAAGATATTGGAATTAAGGAAATAACATAAAGAATGATCCGTTCTTCTTTTCAACACGCACACAAAAGCCTAATTCGGATACGGCTTTTCTTTGTAGGAAACGAAAAAGTGGTAATTTCGAATTGGAAGACGTGGATACTGCTGAAATCTCAGAGAAGGACCGAATGTTGAGGGAAAAAGAAGCAGAGGTATTCAATATGATTGGATTCTTAATAGATGTGCTCAGTACACTTTTGAAATAATGACACTGACAACGAACAGGGCGCGCCACTTTGCTAAACATACGCACCTGCTGTTACTTCTGGACAAGGCAACCACTGGGGCGTGGCCTGGGGCCCAGGAGTGCCTATAACCCCCTCCCCCCACACTCACATACACACCCTTTTGTGACAAATTTGTTAGGAAGATAAAGTACCGGACATAAGCCCCTACCCCCCTCTCCAAAGGCCAGAAAGACCCTTGAGTAAGACGGCACCTTTGTAGGAAATTCCACTAAACGTTTTTTATTGTACAGTTGTGACTTTTAGTTTGTTTGTTCAGTGTTGATTGAATGTTTGTTTTTCCAGTTGAGGCGAATGCAGGAGATGATAGCTAACATGCAGAAACAGATGGCGAAACAAAAAGGACCTGGGCTCGACGAAAAGTTCTGAATATGCAAAGATGTACATGAAGTTCTGTAAACTTATAGTGTCTCTGACACTCTCTGCCTGTTTAGTTCTTATCTATCGCACTTGTATGATAATTATGTTCTCACACAGCCGTCTGAAGCTCCTCATTTGAGCGTTGTGTTTTCACGTATGCTTCTCTTGGAGAGTATTGCGTGATGGGCTAAATAACGTGACTACCAAGTAACGTAATAGGAAAAAACGAATAGTTCTATGTGATATAGAAGAATAACTAAGTTGTTGGGTTTGAAATCATAAGCCGATTGGCAGGCGTGTTGTGCGACATGTCATGCAACAACCCAATGGAGAATACCAATTCTTTTTCTCAATTAACCACGGTTAGAATAATTTTCCATGTTAATTCAAGCCATAATAATGACCCGTTGCGAAATGTGCAGTCTTTTAGATTGTGTTATATTTATTAATGTGTTTCCGTCACATTTGCAACCTCGTGTTTTGAAAGTGATAATCTAACCCATCCCTCCAAGACCTATTCCAACCTTATACTATTTACTTTACTTTTTGTGTGTGTTCAGAGTTTATCTGGTTAAGAAAAGCAAACAACATGACGATAAAATAATGGTTCGAATTCCGTTTCCACAAAAAGCGACCAAACGTAATCAAGACACTTCTGTCTTTTAATAGACCAGAATCATACTTACTGATATAGCTGTTGAATATGGCCTACGAATTTAGGGATTGCGTTCACGAAGAAATTCATGTATGTTAGGCAAAAAATACAGCATACTTTAAATTACTGTGCAGTGATTTTCAACTGAGTCATGAAATTGGAGGTCGAAGTATTTACAAGAAAGTAGAATCTGTAGCTGGGTTCGTCTTGGGCTTACTAAGTAAGAGGAAGACACAAATGGAATTATTAGGTCAATCTTAGCAAATCTTGTGTGGAAATGACTTGTAATTGTTAAAATATTTTTTGCATAGGGTGGAAAGGGGAGGCAGTCACCATTGTATAACTTATGCCAAAGGAGGCCCGTGAACCAGTTTGTTACCGAAGATCTATCGGCGGCAGAACCACGCCCTGCAATTTAATGATGACCAGCTCGATTTTGAAACAATTTTAGTGGCATCCCGGTTTTAATAACATTATCTTCCTGGCTTTTCCAAAGTGTAAAAATGTATAAGTAAATAGAGCGATGAGTTTTGTCAAATATGATATCGTTTGGCACACCTAGACAACACTAACACGCCTAATTTATGTGAGACACTTTGACTCCAGGTGAAGCGTGGAAAACAAGATTTGTAATAGAGTTGTAAACCAAAAGTCATCAAATCACGGGCTAGTTGAGGAAGGTGGTGTTGTTGCCAATTTTTTTCCCTGCAGGGCAGTGAGAGTGATGAACACTGTGTTAAAACAGTTAGGATATCGTCCTTCGATTGAAGCTACTAAGTTTTTCAAGTTTTCCTCTGACAAGATCGGGATGCGGGATGTTTCTCCTGAAAAATCGAACGGGATAAACATAGACGTTTATCCGAAAAAGCACTTTGACCTTTGCGATTAGGTTGGCGTGCAGTTTTGCTGTGCACTTTCGGTTTTTCATACTTATCATTTGTCTGGNGGTCAATCTGAGCAAATCTTATGTGAAAATGACTTGTCAATTGTTACTTCAAGTATTTTTTTGCAGATGGTGGAATGGGGAGGCAGTCTGTATGACTGGCGTACCTCCGATTGTGGCTTAAAGCTGGCACCATTGTATAGCGTATGCCAAAGGAGGCCCGTGAACCAGTTTACTACCGAAGATCTATCGGCGAAAGAACCATGCCCTGGAATTTAATGATGACCGGCTCGTTTTTGAAACAATTTTAGTGGCATCCCGGATTTAACAACATTATCTCCCAGGCTTTTCCCAAGTGTGAAAATATATAAGTAACTAGAGCGATGAGTTTTGTCAAATACGATATCTCCTGGCTCACCTTGACAACACTAACACGCCTAAATGATGTGAGACACTGACTCCAGGTGAAGAGTGGAAAACAAGATTTGTAATGGAGTTGTAAACTAAAAGTCATTAAATCACGGACTAGTTGAAAAAGGTGGTGTCGTTTCCAATTTTTTTTCCCTTGCAGGGCAGGGAAAGTGATGAACACTGTCCCAAAACAGTTAGGAAATCGTCCTCCTTCGATTGGAGCAACTAAGTTTTTCAAGTTTTCCTTTGACAAGGTCAGGTAGTTTCCCCTGAAAAATCGAACGGGATAAACGTATAGGCGTTTATCTGAAAAAGCACTTTGACCTTTAGGGCAAGGTTGGCGTGCAGTTTTTCTGTGTACTTTCAGTTTTTCATACTTATCGTTTTTCTGGCTCCACCAGTAGTACAACTGACCTAAATATCCTTCTCGTGGGGAAATCCTCGCAAACGGTTCTATTCACTGGTGCGATTTCATTTCACTCTTTCACTAGAAAGCGTATTGTTTCTAAGGCTGTAGTGGTGATAATTCTTTTGCTGAATGCGCTAAAAGTATTTCTCAGGTCAATGAATATTTAATGTTTGCTCTTAATTATTGTTTGGAGCTTCTAACAATGAAAATGAACAAATTTTTTTCGTTAGTAATTTTATTCTCAGTCAAGTGGCATCCATTTAATAAAATCTATATCTCGTTCTTGTTTAACTAAATGCGTCATAGTCCTGATACGAAAACAATATCAACGTCACACGAAAAACGAGAATTTTAAGCTTCAGTGGATTACTCGTTTAGGACAAAAATTCAAAGCACTAAACTCGTCATAAAATCCATTCTTACGATCTTTCCACTAAGGATAATTCATAAAAAAAAATGTATTTAATTTTTTTGTAGCCAGAGAAATCAAAACCTTATGTCCGCTCACTGTGTTGACCCTTGGCAAGTCTTAGTGAACTTTAAAGACAAGCTAGCTAGTTTACAAAGGAAAACTGGTTACTACTAAAGATTCTTCAATCCATAAAAATTAGCACAGCAAGATTGAAAAGTTCGTAATATTTCACCGTCCGGTGTGGTTAAGGAGTTAAACCGCCATCAAGCTAACAACAGAGCTAACCCTCGTTTTGGACGTCTCTCCCGTGGCGGTTACCATTACGGTATCAACAGATCCACGAGTAGCAGTGGCTTTTGCTGTGAACCAGGTGTAGAAGAAACCAATCCGGTTGTGAAAGACACGTCTCGAGGACAGCGATACCGAAGAGTTGAACGTCGTCGAATCTTTTACTTCGAACTGGAAATTCTCGGTTGAGCCTGTGTTGTAAGCAACGAATATCACCAGTCCTCTTCCACTGATTGGTACCGTGAAGTCCTCGCTAGAATACAAAACCCTGAGCAGGACACGACTTGGCTGGACAAGAGCCTTGGAGTTACGCTCAAAGTCGAAACCTCTCTTGGTCTGGCCTCTCAGTTTCAATTTAAAGGGGATTGTGGGAGTAGAGAAAGAAGCCGAGAAATGGGCACCACTTTTCCCCGGCAGGGAATGAACATCTGTCGTGTTTAGAACTTCGTTGTCTCCGTTCAGAATTTCAAGTTGTAATGATTCTCCATTGATCTTATTTGCAGTACTTACAGTCAAAATGATGTGAGCGGGTTTACCTGTGCACGTATAAAGCCATGAAACAACAAGGGTTAATTATTACCATTTACTGTTTGATCGTGTAGTATGATAATTCGACTCATTTGGTTAAGGTAGTCCTAAGAAGGACTGTTGCCGCCAAGGTTGTCGAAACGTCAGTCACTTCCACCGACACCAGTCCTTATCAGGACCCTCACACAAACGATCGGACCACGCGATCAAATTTTACCCTGTGTCAAACCGTTGACTGTATCATTTGTTATCCGACAATCATATTGAGTTTGCATTACTTAAATTGATACAGCTTCAACAAGCTCAAAGACAACAACTGCCGTTGTTACATTATGATCATGATTTGAGAAACGATTAGCTTTTTGCTTTTTAACAAGCAGTCACTAATTCTTTGAAAAGCCGAAGAGTACGCGTCCAAGGCGCGATTCCTTTGCGAGGTGTTTACGACGATACAATATACGAAAGATCGTCATCTTCTGGAAATATGAAAAAATAAAGAAAATAGGAAAGAAAAGATAGTTAACTTGATGCATACTCACCAATAAGAGGATGAGGAATAGGAAGGGGACTCCTCGCGTTACGAGGAAGAACGAACACAAAGTCGAAGTCCAAATTTGTTGCACTGGACCCTTTCACTACATACGAGTGTTATCCTGCACCAGATGATACCAATAGCTTCCAAATTCCTGGTTTGGGGTGATCCACCATAAATATCGCGCCTCTTTCCAATTCAGTTCTTCCCTCAGTGCTGACAGAAACAGACATTGGATCTTGCAAGTTGATCGTTTGTCCACCATTTTGGGTTGTGACAGAAATAATGACTCTGTTCATGGAATCATCGATGGGAATTTCGTAGACTGTGAAGGGACTTCTCTTCTTTCTTCGACTTCCAGTACTGCTGCTACCTACACAGGTTGTTTCACCAAGAAGATTCTTGGAGATTTTCTTTATCTTTGAAAAATCAGATCCAGATTTTGGGAAGTTCAAACACCTGACCGTAGGTGGCCTTGGCAAGATCCTCATACGGTTTATACTTACTGAAACCACACAGTCCTGTGGTAAAGAAGTAAACACTTGACCTCATTGTCTTAGCTAAAATTTTTGCCGTATCGAGTCGATGTGAATCTTTTGCCGTGGCATCAGTGAAGACGTAAAGAGGTGAACCTTGTTTAATTCCGCTATTGAGGGCATCTATTATTCCCGTGAAGGCCAGCTCTGGACAATCTCCCCCTCCATCCGGTGTTAGACTTTCGACTGCTGCTATAAAGTCCTTTCCTTTTCCAACTGGCATTCTGGTTATTAGTCCGTTTTCTGAATTCGAAAAAGAAAAAACAACAACAATAACCATAAAAAAAACTGAAAAAGGAATCCAAAGTCTATAAATAAATTATTGACGTTTCCAACTTTCCGGCTTTCTATCGCACTAGCGTAATTGGGTGTATATGTGATGGTGCGTGTGCGTGTACTCGCGCGCAAGTGTGTGTGTGTGTGTGTGTGTGTGTGTGTGTGTGTGTGCACCTTCATAATCACGTGACATACCAAAAAAAAGTAAACAAAGAGTTCCTTGTTTGAAGTTCGCCGGCTTTCATAACCAGTTCCCCTAGTAACTCTGATTAAACATTCCCTTGTATGTGCTGATCGAAGCAAATTTCCGATTTCGACGGAGGAAGTAGTTCGATCATCGGGAAGCTGCTATTTAAAGGAAGAGTATTGAGAGATGCGCCCGTACTTATTTTCGCGATCGGTTTTTCAATTTTCGCTCTAGAATTGTGACTTGTTAACGCCATCAAAAAATTCCTCGGCATAGTGATAGCTGATGTGTGCAGTGTGAATCTCGTGTAACGTTCTTAGCCTGCGGCCAGCCTTATCATGCATCGTCTCGTAGTAAAC